TCACTATGTTACAGTCAGTTACGTTCTCACTATGTTACCGTCAGTTCCGTTCTCAAAGTTACCATCAGTTACGTTCTCACTATGTTACGGTCAGTTACGTTCTCTGCGTTACCGTCATTTACTGTCAGTAACGTTCTCTACGTTACTGTCAGTAACGTTTTCTACGTTACCGTCAGTTACGTTCTCACTATGTTACAGTCAGTTACGTTCTCACTATGTTACCGTCAGTTCCGTTCTCAAAGTTACCATCAGTTACGTTCTCACTATGTTACAGTCAGTTACGTTCTCACTATGTTACCGTCAGTTCCGTTCTCAAAGTTACCATCAGTTACGTTCTCTATGTTACCATAAGTTCCGTTCTCTGCGTAAATGTCAGTTACGTTCTCAGTGTAACCGTCAGTTACGTTTTCTACGTTATCGTCAATTACATTCTCTGTGTTACCGTCAATTGCGTCCTCTGTGTTACCATCAGTTCCGTTCTCTATGTTACCGACAGTTACGTTCTCCATGTTACCGCCAGTTCCGTTCTCTATGTTACCGTCAAATGCGTCCTCTGTGTTACCGTCAGTTAAGTTCATTATGTTACCATCAGTTACATGTACGTTCTCTGTGTTACCGCCAGTTACGTTCTCTGTGTTACCATCAGTTACGTTCTCTGTGTTACCGTCAATTGCGTCCTCTGTGTTACCATCAGTTACGTTCTCTATGTTACCGCCAGTTTCGTTCTCTATGTTACCGCCAGTTCCGTTCTCGATGTTACCGTCAATTGCGTCCTCTGTGTTACCATCAGTTCCGTTCTCTGTGTTACCATCAGTTCCGTTCTCTGTGTTACCGCCAGTTCCGTTCTCTATGTTACCGTCAAATGCGTCCTCTGTGTTACCGTCAGTTAAGTTCATTATGTTACCATCAGTTACATGTACGTTCTCTGTGTTACCGCCAGTTACGTTCTCTGTGTTACCATCAGTTACGTTCTCTGTGTTACCGTCAATTGCGTCCTCTGTGTTACCATCAGTTACGTTCTCTATGTTACCGCCAGTTCCGTTCTCTATGTTACCGCCAGTTCCGTTCTCGATGTTACCGTCAATTGCGTCCTTCTGTGTTACCATCAGTTCCGTTCTCTGTGTTACCATCAGTTCCGTTCTCTGTGTTACCGCCAGTTCCGTTCTCTACGTTACCGCCAGTTACGTACTCTATGTTACCATCAGTTACGTTCCCTATGTTACCGACAGTTACGTTCTCTGTGTTACCATCAGTCACGTTCTCTATGTTACCATAATTTACGTTCCCTATGTTACCGACAGTTACGTTCTCTGTGTTACTGTCAGTTAAGTTCACTATCTTATCGTCAATTACGTTCTCCACGTTACCGTCAGTTACCTTATCTATGTTCCCGTCAGACGGCAAATATGACACACACATTCTTTCCTTATTATGTTAAAGTGTAGGGGCATATAACTGTCCAGGTCAGGAAACGAGATAACATATTTCTTTGTTTTTTGTTCAAATAACAGTCAAATTGCTTTTATAAATTAATACCGGAAAAATAATGTAATTGCAAGGAGGTTGCAATGTCGTTCAATGATGGTGCAGCAACGAGAAGGCCTGCTTTAATTTGGTGAAGCAACGGCAAGGCCTCGGCCATTCAATGATAGTTAATTCTCCTATGTTGTGAGTCTCACGATACGATGTTACTCAGTCTTCATCAGATAACTGCAGCCCCACAGCTGAGACTGCGCACAGACCGACGTCCGCCTTTCATGGCCAGGGTCTAATAGTAAGTCGGACGTGGTTTCCCTTGTAGTTCCATCATACGGAAGTCACACGTGAAATGTGTGCAAGTGTGCGAATGAATGCTGTTTTGCGCCATAGTAAGCAATGCATAGGGTGACATGGCAGCTTGTAACTAATCGAGTCTGGCCTTGGTTATTAGTAGGCTGAATGAGCAACGATCGTCTCTGACAAGCACAGATAGTCAGCCACAACAAACTAATATTTGCCCTGTCATGGCAACATTAGCTTTGTTATTTCTGTGTAATGCCCTGTAATGGCAACTATCATGTAATGTTTACTATTTGGTAGGAGCATCTCAACACGCCCTGGCCTCTCCACTATAATTCCTAACTAGCTATATCAGAAAATCACATGGCCACATGAACAATGTCTTCAAGAGAAACATTTCACATCCGCTAAATAGGATGGTTGGAAGGATGTTATACCCGGAAACCCTTTTGATGTGTTTTGCCGAATAAACCCTCCTAATCAACATATATTTATGACCTAGGCACAATGACACAGCTGAAATGATGATATATTAACCATCATAGCACAGGTGCACAGCTGAAATGGTGATATATTGGCTGCATCGGCCCTCGCGCAAAGCTGAAATGTTGATATATTAAACACCTCGGCACACATGCACAGCTAAAATGGTGATATATTGACTGCCTCGGCACACGTGCACAGCTGAAATGGTGATATATTAAACACCTCGACACACGTGCACAGCTGAAATGGTGATATATTAACCACCTCGGCACACATGCACAGCTAAAATGGTGATATATTGACTGCCTCGGCACACGTGCACAGCTGAAATGGTGATATATTAAACACCTCGACACACGTGCACAGCTGAAATGTTGATATATTAACCACCTCGGCACACATGCACAGCTAAAATGGTGATATATTGACTGCCTCGGCACACGTGCACAGCTGAAATGGTGATATATTAAACACCTCGACACACGTGCACAGCTGAAATGGTGATATATTAAACACCTCGGCACACGTGCACAGCTGAAATGATGATATATTAACCACCTCGGCACACATGTGCACAGCTAAAATGGTGATATATTGACTGCCTCGGCACACGTGCACAGCTGAAATGTTGATATATTAAACACCTCGGCACACGTGCACAGCTGAAATGGTGATATATTAACCACCTCGGCACACGTGCACAGCTGAAATGATGATATATTAACCACCTCGGCACACATGTGCACAGCTAAAATGGTGATATATTGACTGCCTCGGCACACGTGCACAGCTGAAATGTTGATATATTAAACACCTCGGCACACGTGCACAGCTGAAATGGTGATATATTAACCACCTCGGCACACGTGCACAGCTGAAATGTTGATATATTAAACACCTCGGCACACGTGCACAGCTGAAATGATGATATATTAACCACCACGGCACACGTGCACAGCTGAAATGGTGATATATTGACTGCCTCGGCACATGTGCACAGCTGAAATGATGATATATTAAACACCTCGACACACGTGAACAGCTGAAATGATGATATATTAAACACCTCGACACACGTGAACAGCTGAAATGTTGATATATTAACCACCTCGGCACACATGCACAGCTGAAATGTTGTTTAACCACCACGGCACACGTGCACAGCTGAAATGGTGATATATTAACCACCTCGGCACACGTGCTAAGCTGAAATGTTGATATATTAAACACCTCGGCACACGTGCACAGCTGAAATGATGATATATTAACCACCACGGCACACGTGCACAGCTGAAATGGTGATATATTGACTGCCTCGGCACATGTGCACAGCTGAAATGATGATATATTAAACACCTCGACACACGTGAACAGCTGAAATGTTGATATATTAACCACCTCGGCACACATGCACAGCTGAAATGTTGTTTAACCACCACGGCACACGTGCACAGCTGAAATGTTGATATATTAACCACCACGGCACATGTGCACAGCTGAAATGTTGATATATTAACCACCACGGCACACGTGCACAGCTGAAATGTTGATATATCTACTGCACTAACACAATGGTAAGGCGAGTGTGAGCGAGTTTATTCTGGCTTGACGCTGCTTTATTTAAGAAATAAAAGACGTGTGGTTGTTGTTTGCCGTACAATAAAACACGGCAGGGAAAATACACCATAAGGGGCGAAGCCTTAAGTAGTTTATTCTCCCTGCAGTCTTTGTACGATAAACAACTCTTCATGTATGTCTTATATGAGATATGAACATTATGTACAGCATCTTTAAGGATGTTGATAAAAAGTATAAGCTTTGAAAATATTTACCTAAATTTTAACAATAATGAACAGGTGGGTTAAGTACCTGTACCTTTTCTCCTAATACTGATTGTCATATCTCTCCCACTTTTGGATGCGATCGTTCGACCACTGCGTTTATCTGAGTAGCCCAGCTACATCTATGGGGAGAAACTTACTGGGCACTTCCCTCTTAAAAATAACATCGTCCAATATATGACGTCATATTCGAATCACCAGAAATGACGTCATGATAGAACAATGTTTTATCGTGAAATAAACCACGCTTTGTTCTTCATTGTTCTTTGTGATTTATCGCATAGCTATCTTATATTTAAGAAATAAACGACGAGTGGGGGTTGTTTATCGTACAATAAAACACTGCAGGGAGAATCAACCATGAGAGGCGCAGGGAGAATAAACCACTCGGGGCTGCCCCCTCATGGTTTATTCTCCCTGCAGTGTTTTATTGTACGATAAATAACGACCACGACCACGACCACCATGAATCATACTCACTGTAAATCTGGGATTCGAACCCACGACTACCTGACCCTGCGAAGTATTGTCACATGACATATTTAGGTGCCAACACCTCCTCCCCTGAATCCTGAATACCAGCTAATGTATCGCTCTGTGTCTCATTGCCCAACCTTTTGCGTACCCCACTGCCGAGTTCCGCATACCCATGAATAGACCCCGTATCCCGCGTACCAAAAGGGGGTTGGCAGTTAACAGACATGTATAGACTGTTGTATAAAAATAAATATCAGTATGAATACTACATCTGCCCGAACGCCTATCTACATTCATCCCATATCAGCATCACTTGCCTCTCAGTCGTCTGAATGTCGTCGTGTCAGCTCTATTGATAGTGACGCGCGCCATGGGGCGTGACAGATCACGTGGTAAATGATATTACAATTTTTCAATGGCCACATCACGTGGGGGAAGTAATATAACCACTTCGATACAACAATACCTATCGTGCTAACCTAACAACAGGCAATACTTTAACTGACAGTTTTCCAGCAAGTGGACGACTACCTGGTGTCGCACTGACGGGTACCACACAAGAGTATATCACACTAGACTAACGAGTCCGACTACAAGCGTTCACTGACAAGAGGATGTATAAGGTGATAGTACTGCACTTTGTGTATTTTCTTCCTGCATTATGATCGAAATACACAAGGTCACATGACAACAGCGCTTTCATGTCACGTGAAGAAATCATGGATGACGGACACATTCTATTTCCCGATGGGTATGATTAATCGTTACTATTAAACTGATCTGTGGGCATCAAGGAGATCGACTGTCATATGAAACACATGGTGTCAGTGTGGCCTGGGTACTCTCCCAGCAGGTGGACATATCTCCGTGCTGCGTTATTACTGAGGTAAGCCGTAAAATTCACTCTGTGAGAGAGGAAGTGAAATCACTGACTGACTAACCTTGCCAACAAGCCCCTGTCTCCCTGTGTCTGTAGTGGAAGAACTGATACCCCACCTTGCCAACAAGCCCCTGTCTCCCAGTGTCTGTAGTTGAAGAACTGATACCCCACCTTGCTAACAAGCCCCTGTCTCCCTGTGTCTGTAGTGGAAGAACTGATACCCCACCTTGCTAACAAGCCCCTGTCTCCCTGTGTCTGTAGTGGAAGAACTGATACCCCACCTTGCCAACAAGCCCCTGTCTCTCTGTGTCTGTAGTGGAGGAACTGATACCCCACCTTGCCAACAAGCCCCTGTCTCTCTGTGTCTGTAGTGGAGGAACTGATACCCCACCTTGCCAACAAGCCCCTGTCTCCCTGTGTCTGTAGTGGAAGAACTGATACCCCACCTTGCCAACAAGCCCCTGTCTCCCTGTGTCTGTAGTGGAAGAACTGATACCCCACCTTGCCAACAAGCCCCTGTCTCCCAGTGTCTGTAGTGGAAGAACTGATACCCCACCTTGCCAACAAGCCCCTGTCTCCCTGTGTCTGTAGTGGAAGAACTGATACCCCACCTTGCTAACAAGCCCCTGTCTCCCAGTGTCTGTAGTGGAGGAACTGATAGCCCACCTTGCCAACAAGCCCCTGTCTCTCTGTGTCTGTAGTGGAAGAACTGATACCCCACCTTGCTAACAAGCCCCTGTCTCTCTGTGTCTGTAGTGGAGGAACTGATACCCCACCTTGCCAACAAGCCCCTGTCTCCCTGTGTCTGTAGTGGAGGAACTGATACCCCACCTTGCCAACAAGCCCCTGTCTCTCTGTGTCTGTGGTGGAAGAACTGATACCCCACCTTGCTAACAAGCCCCTGTCTCCCAGTGTATGTAGTGGAGGAACTGACAAAAATCCTTGTTTCCTTCTGATGCGGATGTTTAACAGCTCGCGTGTATATTCTTCCTGGTATAGAAATAAGTCATTGACAAACGTCACCTACAGTGTTCATTTCCACCGCTGTTTTGCATTTTAGGCCCAGTTGAATCTGGACAATTGACAATATATAATCGATACTGGTTAGTCTCTGGCGGTGACGTTTTACATTTACTTGACAAACCTCGAGATGTCGACGTGACTATACAACTAGGCAGAGCACAGTTTCAGACCATGATTGTAGCGTGGATGATGCATCAGAATATGTTGAACTGGATCATTGTCACTATATTCATGACACTCTAAAACTAAAATAGTTTCACTCGGGACAATATTCTCAACATGTATGGTCATTAACTGTACTTGTGTTTCCTTAAACTTGAACATTGTGAACGGATTGAGGGGATCAGATGCAGGGTGAGTTTACATTTGTTTCTTCAACAGA